GAACTGAACTAGAACTGAACAGAAACTGAACTAGAACTGAACTAGAAGAACTGAAATGAACTGAACGAACTAGAACTGAACTAGAACTGAACTAGAACTGAACTAGAACTGAACTAGAACTGAACTAGAAATGAACTAGAACTGAACTAGAACTGAACTAGAACTGAACTAGAACTGAACTAGAACTGAACTAGAAAACTGAACTAGAAACTAGAACTGAACTAGAAACTGAACTAGAACTGAACTAGAACTGAACTAGAACTGAACTAGAACTGACTAGAACTGAACTAGAACTGAACTAGAACTGAACTAGAACTGAACTAGAACTGAACTAGAACTGAACTAGAACTGAACTAGAACTGAACTAGAACTGAACTAGAACTGAACTAGAACTGAACTAGAACTGAACTAGAACTGAACTAGAAACTGAACTAGAACAGAACTAGAACAGAACTAGAACCGAACTAGAACTGGATTAGAATGTATTCAATTTTATTTCCGTCCAACTTACCCAAAGACATAAGACCACCCTCGGTCAACAGCCAGCAAGAAATGTATTTGTACAAAGAGAACTTCGCCCAGAAGCCCAAATAGATTAAACGCCAGAAGAATGGTTGATTACGATAAGCATCGGTTAAGAAGTAGTTATCAGGGAATAACATGGCACCAACTTGACGCACAGCCAAATACAACAAACCCACTAACAGGCGGGTTAAACCAGCCTTAACGAAACCCTTATATTGGGCATATTCACCATTGATAAAACGCTGATAACGTTTAAACGGAAACTGAGGACCAATTAAAAATGAACTGGGGAAATAAGCATAAGCAGACAACTCCAGTAAAGAAGGTATCTGTTCTAAAGCACACTCCTGTTGATCTTTCGACAACTTCTCTCTAGGCTTACGGCCATCGGCAATATCAAAAGCAAAACCAATCATGCGCAAAGCTAAAACACATTGAGGAGTAGTCCACAAAATATCATATTCATTGCTCTCGGTAAAGTAATAGCCGGTTAAGAGATAAGCCATATGGAAAACGAAATTAATGGCCACCAATTGTTGGGTGTTATTGTGCAGTAAACGCACCAATAGATATGTAATCCAAATCGAGATTAAAGAGTGATAAGTATCAAAGCCATAGTTAAAGAAACACAAACCAAAACCACACAAAGCAAAGAAAATGTGGTGTACCGGCTTAGAAGATTGAGGCTGTATTAAGAAACGATAAATAATGCTATGGGGTAACCTGGAAATAGTTAAAAATATGGATATTAACTAAAATAGTTTGAGGTTAAAGTTAAGTTCCAATTTACCGGCAAATAGAGTAAATAACAAACGTATAGCCGCTTCACCTACGCCCACCTTATCTGCCAACTGGCTATTAAACCTATGTTACCTCCAACTGCATCACCACCACTTGCTACCACCGTCATTATTCTGTTGTTTTGTTCTTTTTTTAACAATAATTATCTAGGCAACAAATGCTGTAAATAAATTATAAATTAAATGCGTATTAACAAAAATATTTAATAAAATAATTATAAAAACATTAATAATGTGTGTCGAGCGTTTTAACTTTTGTACGTTTTAGTATGTTTTAACTCTAGACTGCCTATGAGCATCAATCATTTGTTTCGCAATATTTTTTTCATTGTGGTTTGGTTATGATTGTAAATTGAACTTTTGGAATCACTTGAAGTTTATTGCTGTTTTTTATGTTTCATTTTTGTTTAATTGTATTGTAAATATAATGCTTATCAGAAATTAGAAAATAAATATGCATAACTTGCCTATAAAGTGGGTTAAACTTATGAGCAACAATCAAAAAGGTCAATGAAATGTAGATTGATTTATAGCTAGTATTAAAGAATTATGGGTTTTTTTTAGAAAATTCTCATGTTCTTGGCCACAACTTTAAAATCTTTAGAAATTATTAGTATTGAAGAAAATAATAAAATAAAATCTTTTAAAGAAAATGAAAGTAAAATTATTAAGTTTTTTGATGATTCATTAAAGTACCTTTTAAAAAAGTTAAGTGTTTGCGAAACTGGCAAACAAACTTGTCGACAAATGTTTTAAATTGTTATAGTATTTGTAGTTTTATTTACAAGTGAGAGTGTTTGTTTGGTGATGCTATTATTAAATTTTATGAATAAAAAAATGTGTTAAATTTTAAACTTAATAAACTTCTATTTTTTATTAAATAAAAGCTGTAGTGTGAATCTACGAAATCCAACAAAGATTTCTGCAATACAACTGCTGGAGTTATTACGTTATTGGTTATTATCCAAGCTATTATTTTGAAAAACATAAGTTTGATCTTTAGTTCAGACTATAGTTCAGACTATAAGTGCACACTACAATCTACATACTGCAACTGAACTAGAACCGAACTAGAACTGAACTAGAACTGAACTAGAACTGAACTAGAACTGAACTAGAACTGAACTAGAACTACTAGAACTGAACTAGAACTGAACTAGAACTGAACTAGAACTGAACTAGAACTGAACTAGAACTGAACTAGAACTGAACTAGAACTGAACTAGAACTGAACTAGAACTGAACTAGAACTGAACTAGAACTGAACTAGAACTGAACTAGAACTGAACTAGAATTGAACTAGAACTGAACTAGAACTGAACTAGAACTGAACTAGAACTGAACTAGAACTGAACTAAACTGAACTAGAACTGAACTAGAACTGAACTAGAACTGAACTAGAACTGAACTAGAACTGAACTAGAACTGAACTAGAACTGAACTAGAACTGAACTAGAACTGAACTAGAACTGAACTAGAACTGAACTAGAACTGAACTAGAACTGAACTAGAACTGAACTAGAACTGAACTAGAACTGAACTAGAATTGAACTAGAACTGAACTAGAACTGAACTAGAACTGAACTAGAACTGAACTAGAACTGAACTAGAACTGAGCTAGAACTGAATTAGAACTGAACTAGAACTGAACTAGAACTGAACTAGAACTGAACTAGAACTGAACTAGAACTGAATTAGAACTGAACTAGAACTGAACTAGAACTGAACTAGAACTGAACTAGAACTGAACTAGAACTGAACTAGAACTGAACTAGAACTGAACTAGAACTGAACTAGAACTGAACTAGAACTGAACTAGAAGTGAACTAGAACTGAACTAGAACTGAACTAGAACTGAACTAGAACTGAATTAGAACTGAACTAGAACTGAACTAGAACTGAACTAGAACTGAATTAGAACTGAACTAGAACTGAACTAGAACTGAACTAGAACTGAACTAGAACTGAACTAGAACTAAACTAGAACTGAACTAGAACGGAACTAGAACTGAACTAGAACTGAACTAGAACTGAACTAAAACTGAACTAGAACTGAACTAGAACTGAACTAGAACTGAGCTAGAACTGAATTAGAAACTGAACTAGAACTGAACTAGAACTGAACTAGAACTGAACTAGAACTGAACTAGAACTGAACTAGAACTGAATTAGAACTGAACTAGAACTGAACTAGAACTGAACTAGAACTGAACTAGAACAGAACTAGAACTGAACTAGAACTGAACTAGAACTGAACTAGAACTGAACTAGAACTGAACTAGAACTGAACTAGAACTGAACTAGAACTGAACTAGAACTGAACTAGAAGTGAACTAGAACTGAACTAGAACTGAACTAGAACTGAATTAGAACTGAACTAGAACTGAACTAGAACTGAACTAGAACTGAATTAGAACTGAACTAGAACTGAACTAGAACTGAACTAGAACTGAACTAGAACTGAACTAGAACTAAACTAGAACTGAACTAGAACGGAACTAGAACTGAACTAGAACTGAACTAGAACTGAACTAAAACTGAACTAGAACTGAACTAGAACTGAACTAGAACTGAACTAGAACTGAACTAGAACTGAACTAGAACTGAACTAGAACTGAACTAGAACTGAACTAGAACTGAACTAGAATTGAACTAGAACTGAACTAGAACTTAACTAGAACTGAACTAGAACTGAACTAGAACTGAACTAGAACTGAACTAGAACTGAACTAGAACTGAACTAGAACTGAACTAGAACTGAACTAGAACTGAACTAGAACTGAACTAGAACTGAACTAGAACTGAACTAGAACTGAACTAGAACTTAACTAGAACTGAACTAGAACTGAACTAGAACTGAACTAGAACTGAACTAGAACTGAACTAGAACTGAACTAGAACTGAACTAGAACTGAACTAGAACTCAACTAGAACTTAACTAGAACTGAACTAGAACTGAACTAGAACTGAACTAGAACTGAACTAGAACTGAACTAGAACTGAACTAGAACTGAACTAGAACTGAACTAGAACTGAACTAGAACTGAACTAGAACTTAACTAGAACTGAACTAGAACTGAACTAGAATTGAACTAGAACTGAACTAGAACTGAACTAGAACTGAACTAGAACTGAACTAGAACTGAACTAGAACTGAACTAGAACTGAACTAAAACTAAACTAGAACTAAACTAGACCTGAACTAGAACTGAACTAGAACTAAAATAGAGCTGACCTAAAACTGAACTAGAACTAAATTATAACTATACCAGAACTAACTAGATCTTAACTAAAACTAAACTAGAACTAAACAAATCTTTTGCATAATCTTTTAGGGAATAATAAATAATTAATTATTTTGTAAAGGCATTCACTTTAGACTTTTTTCAACTCTTATAAAAATAGCAAAGATGAATTAATATTGTGGGCATACAAAACTCTTATCAGCAAAGTTGTTTGAAATTTCCAAATTAATCAAAATATTTTTTTTATTTCCCTAGAAATTACATTGAACTGCTTATCTAAAGTAAATTTAAGCCAGCAATTGCTAACATAAAAGATTAATGTTGAAATAATTGTCATGGTTGGCTTTAAATCTATATTATTTGAGGTAAAATCTAAAAATTTTGATTTATTGTTAAATACCTACAAATTGATTGATTTTTTTGAACAGCAATTAATTAGAACTAGCTTTATGCTATAACATAATCTACTAACTTTTAGAGAAATAACTTTTAGTTTATAATTATTTAGACGTGAATACCTTAAATATTTTACATACATTACGCCTTTTAATACTAACAAACCTATTTTAAATTGTTTATTTAAGTTTAGATAAAATAACATTATTGTAGCTGTATAAACTATATTTTTTATTAAAAATAACTAAATATGTATTGTATCATATAGCACCAAGTCACGGGTGTTAAAAATCGCATTTATTTGATAAATATTTATGCCTTAGTTTTTTTGTTTTTCTATTAAAAAGATTTAATTACTCATAATGAACATTTGACAAATAAAACTCTTGAAAAAAGAGCTTATTGTTTTGTTTTATTTAGAGGCGATTGTATTCTTTAATATTTTATAACGAAAAATATGGTTTATATTAGGAATTAATAAAAGTGAAAATTTAAAATGCACTTTAGAATATAAGAAAAATGGTGTATAGTCTATAGTCTAGACATTAGATTAGTCAACTATTAACTACAGACTAGTCTATTACTGTAGACTAAACTATGGAATACACTATAGTCGAGCCTATAAAACATTATATAGTCGGCTATATGGACTAGTTGAGAATATATAGCAGTCTATAGCCAAAACTTTATTTATTTTTCAATTTATTTTTCAAAACAATTCCTATTATGCGCCCAAAAAGTACTTTGTTCTAACAAAAATTTGTTCTCAACAAAAATTTGACTACAATAAAAACAAAAAGCCTACAATACTACCAAACATGTTAGTAACTCCTTAGTACACTTGTACCAAGAGATAAAAACCTAAAATTTGTTCTATTATCATTTCGTTTTGCACCAAAAACAAAATACCAGGAAATATACCATGTGCACATTGACATACTATATAAACACTTGTTTATTGATTAAAAATCTTTCACAATCACTAAACAAATTTACGATTTTTTTCGTTTCTTTTCTTTATATATTTTTATCGATTAGACAAATGAGTAGCTTTTACCTTAAATAAAAATGATAAAATAATTAAATATATTGTTGGCGGTGTCTTGTTTTCATCATATTATCAATTTCTTCTCAGTGTCGTCCACAGCAACCTACTTTTTTTTTTTTGGTTTATGTGTCTCAAACTAATTGTGAAAAAAAGTTAAGGTTGTGACCCCCTTAACATTGCACAATCATTTTCATTGTTTACTCTAATACATAATTACTATGTATATGCAATATACATATCTAATATATATTGTTATTAAAGTTTTATATTTTTATTATTATGAATTAGTAATAAAATTTTACGCATCATTAAAAATTTCACACATTTAGTTATGATCTTGAAGTTTTAGTTTACTATAAATTTACACAAAGAAAATGATAATATTTACCAATTGAAGGACTCGGCCAGACGTTTTAATTAATGTTAAAATGTTTTATTGATTTCTCACACGCTTTCCGGTATTTTTCGTACGAGTTTTTTCAAAATTATTGCGAAAATAACAATTTTATTGCAAACAGGCAGATGCAAGCAGAGCCCTGCGACTGGCACTAAATATGTCGGCGGCGACTGACACTAAATATGTCGGCGGCGGCTTAAAATCGACTGTATGCCGGCTAAGTTTTCAACTACGTTTAGTTTTAAAATTTTCAACGATTTTAAAAAAACGAAATCCTAGAGACCAGAAAGTGGGATTTTGGAAGCAAATATTGTTAATAACAACAAAACAGAGCAAGCACAAAAGTTGTGTGAGAAATTATACAGGGATGGATAAAAATTCTTAAAAATTAAAAACAAGTCCTTTCTCCAAGTTTTACTAAGGATCGGCCTATATTTTGCATTAAGAAAATTATCAATAACGTAAAAACAAAAATATTTTATTTATTTATTTATTCAGTAATACAAAAAGCCAATTTGGGCAAAATACTATTACATAGTTGTCTGTTTTGTAAACCGAATCCTTGTAAATTTCTCGTTTAAAAACGAATTCGCATAATTTTTCTCGTTTTAAAAACGAGTACACAAATCTAGTGGAAAGAAATTCGAATGTAATTTATTTTAATAAATTAAATAATTATTTTCTGGGTTTTTTATTTTAAGATGGTTGGGATCTAATGGGTTAAGCAATGATGTTTAGTAAAAATAACGGAAAATTTGCTAAAGAATGTGCATCTAAAATATTTACTAATACTACAATTAAAATTTATTTGGTTTTTTGTTTATCTGTTTGAAGATTAAATATTTTTTTTTTTTTTTTATTTTGGCTTTATTATTTTTTATTGTTTTCAGTGTATTTACTTTATTTTGACTGACAAATTTCTCTGAGCTTACCATTCTCATAATTGACATTTCTACACTATTGTGATTGAATGTGAATGATTTGCCAAAACAGCTGCTTAATTTTTTTTAATAGAAGTAAAAAAATACGTCCGTCCAGTTAGCAACGAAAGATAGCAACGGCAGAGAAAATTTTGGGAATTAAGTGGCAACACCACAGGGGAAAAATAAATTGCTTAGCTAATAAAAAATACCATGGAAAACTCAATGGAAAGAGATGGGAAACAAAATGGAATCAAGACTTTATATAGTCTTGGAACTATAGTTCCTTGTAAAATTAGATTCCTCTAAAAATCGTTGCTGGTGAACCGTAATCGTTGCTGGTGAACTGTATAGGATCTAGCGAGTGTCGCGCCAAAAACTCCTTGGAATATGGTAGGAGACATGGTAAGGATTGAAAAAATCCTTCCGTGCAAAAAATCGGTAGAGCAGATCCTTGGAAAATTGGCTTCATCCAAAATGGTCAGTAAAATCGTTGCTGGTGAACTGTATAGGATCTAGCGAGTGTCGCGCCAAAAACTCCTTGGAATATGGTAGGAGACATGGTAAGGATTGAAAAAATCCTTCCGTGCAAAAAATCGGTAGAGCAGATCCTTGGAAAATTGGCTTCTCCAAAATGGTCAGTAAAATCGTTGCTGGTAAACTGTATAGGATCTAGCGAGTGTCGCGCCAAAAACTCCTTGGAATATGGTAGGAGACATGGTAAGGATTGAAAAAATCCTTCCGTGCAAAAAATCGGTAGAGCAGATCCTTGGAAAATTGGCTTCTCCAAAATGGTCAGTAAAATCGTTGCTGGTGAACTGTATAGGATCTAGCGAGTGTCGCGCCAAAAACTCCTTGGATTATGGTAGGAGACATGGTAAGGATTGAAAAAATCCTTCCGTAAAAAATCGGTAGAGCAGATCCTTGGAAAATTGGCTTCTCCAAAATGGTCAGTAAAATCGTTGCTGGTGAACTGTATAGGATCTAGCGAGTGTCGCGCCAAAAACTCCTTGGATTATGGTAGGAGACATGGTAAGGATTGAAAAAATCCTTCCGTGCAAAAAATCGGTAGAGCAGATCCTTGGAAAATTGGCTTCCTCCAAAATGGTCAGTAAAATCGTTGCTGGTGAACTGTATAGGATCTAGCGAGTGTCGCGCCAAAAACTCCTTGGATATGGTAGGAGACATGGTAAGGATTGAAAAAATCCTTCCGTGCAAAAAATCGGTAGAGCAGATCCTTGGAAAATTGGCTTCTCCAAAATGGTCAGTAAAATCGTTGCTGGTGAACTGTATAGGATCTAGCGAGTGTCGCGCCAAAAACTCCTTGGAATATGGTAGGAGACATGGTAAGGATTGAAAAAATCCTTCCGTGCAAAAAATCGGTAGAGCAGATCCTTGAAAATTGGCTTCCTCCAAATGGTCAGTAAAATCGTTGCTGGTGAACTGTATAGGATCTAGCGAGTGTCGCGCCAAAACTCCTTGGAATAATGGTAGGAGACATGGTAAGGATTGAAAAAATCCTTCCGTGCAAAAAAATCGGTAGAGCAGATCCTTGGAAAATTGGCTTCACTCCAAAATGGTCAGTAAATCGTTGCTGGTGAAACTGTAGAGATCTAGCGAGTGTCGCGCCAAAAACTCTTTGGAATATGGTAGGAGACATGGTAGGATTGAAAAAATCCTTCCGTGCAAAAAATCGGTAGAGAGCAGATCCTTGGAAAATTGGCCTTCATCCAAAATGGTCAGTAAAAATCGTTGCTGGTGAACTATGTAGGATCTAGCGAGTGTCCGCGCCAAAAACTCCTTGGAATATGGTAGGAGACATGGTAAGGATTGAAAAAAATCCTTCCGTGCAAAAAATCGGTAGAGCAGATCCTTGGAAAATTGGCCTTCATCCAAAATGGTCAGTAAAATCGTTGCTGGTGAAACTAGTATAGGATCTAGCGAGTGTCGCGCCAAAAACTCCTTGTAATATGGTAGGAGACATGGTAAGGATTGAAAAAATCCTTCCGTGCAAAAAATCGGTAGAGCAGATCCTTGGAAAATTGGCTTCATCCAAAATGGTCAGTAAAATCGTTGCTGGTGAACTGTATAGGATCTAGCGAGTGTCGCGCCAAAAACTCCTTGGAATATGGGTAGGAGACATGGTAAGGATTGAAAAAATCCTTCCGTGCAAAAAAATCGGTAGAGCAGATCCTTGGAAAATTGGCTTCATCCAAAATGGTCAGTAAAATCGTTTGCTGGTGAACTGTATAGGATCTAGCGAGTGTCGCGCCAAAAACTCCTTGGAATATGGTAGGAGACATGGTAAGGATTGAAAAAATCCTTCCGTGCAAAAAATCGGTAGAGCAGATCCTTGGAAAATTGGCTTTCCTCCAAAATGGTCAGTAAAATCGTTGCTGGTAAACTATAGGATCTAGCGAGTGTCGCGCCAAAAACTCCTTGGATATGGTAGGAGACATGGTAAGGATTGAAAAAATCCTTCCGTGCAAAAAATCGGTAGAGCAGATCCTTGGAAAATTGGCTTCCTCCAAAATGGTCAGTAAAATCGTTGCTGGTAAACTGTATAGGATCTAGCGAGTGTCGCGCCAAAAACTCCTTGGAATATGGTAGGAGACATGGTAAGGATTGAAAAAATCCTTCCGTGCAAAAAATCGGTAGAGCAGATCCTTGGAAAATTGGCTTCCTCCAAAATGGTCAGTAAAATCGTTGCTGGTAAACTATAGGATCTAGCGAGTGTCGCGCCAAAAACTCCTTGGAATATGGTAGGAGACATGGTAAGGATTGAAAAAATCCTTCCGTGCCAAAAAAGCGGTAGAGCAGATCCTTGGAAAATTGGCTTCATCCAAAATGGTCAGTGAAATCGTTGCTGGTGAACTGTATAGGATCTAGCGAGTGTCGCGCCAAAAACTCCTTGGATTATGGTAGGAGACATGGCAAGGATTGAAAAAATCCTTCCGTGCAAAAAATCGGTAGAGCAGATCCTTGGAAATTGGCCTTCCTCCAAAATGGTCAGTAAAATCGTTGCTGTAAACTATGTAGGATCTAGCGAGTGTCGCGCCAAAAACTCCTTGGATTATGGTAGGAGACATGGTAAGGATTGAAAAAAATCCTTCCGTGCAAAAAATCGGTAGAGCAGATCCTTGGAAAATTGGCTTCATCCAAAATGGTCAGTGAAATCGTTGCTGGTGAACTGTATAGGATCTAGCGAGTGTCGTGCCAAAAACTCCATGGAATATTGTAGGAGACATGGTAAGGATTGAAAAAATCCTTCCTAGAAAAAAGTCGGTAGAGTAGATCCTTGGAAAATTAGATTCCTCCAAAATGGTCAGTAAAATTGTTGCTGGTGAACTGTATAGGATCTAGCGAGTGTCGCGCAAAATACTCCTTGTAATATGGATTAAAATATTAAGGATTAAAAAATCCTTCCGTGCAATATATCTACCGACTAGATACTTGGGAAGGTGGAAAGTCGATAACTTAAAATTGTAAAAGTCGAAGAGTCGACTTTTCATGCACATACTTCAAAACGTCGAAAGTCGATGTTTTATTTGAATTATGGAAGTTGGCAGCGTCGTATTTTTTAGTATTAGTTAAGAAAAAACAGAGTTGCAACCAATTAGATTTTGAGAAGATTTTGCCGAAATCTACTTACGAAGTATATTTTGTTTGGTATGGGAAATCTAGTTAAAATCAAATAGATTTGCCTCGAAATCTCATAAGTACTAGATTTCATAGTGGTGTAAATGGGCTATTACACTTAATATTTTTTGACATTAAAAAAAGTTAAATTTTTTCTAATATTTCTCCATATTTTGTTTGACATAAAAAATTTGAAAAAAATATGAGATATATTTCATTTATATATATACCTTTACCTTCATGAGAAGGGTATATACAAGTTTGTCATTCCGTTTGTAATTTCTGTAATATAATTTTCCGACCCTATAAAGTATATATATTCTGGATCCTTATAGATAGCGAAGTCGCTTAAGCCATGTCCGTCTGTCTGTCTGTCCGTCTGTCTGTATGTTTGTTTAAATCAGTTTTTAGATAAAACTGATTTTTTCAATAATTCTGTTAGACATGCTTTCGGGAAGATCGCTATTTAAAATCAGCATAATCGGTCCATAAATACCGGAGTTATGAGCAAAAATCCGAGACAACCTCTTAAAATTTCATAAAAAAGACAATTTTTTCATGTTTTGATATAAGGAACAACAACACTGCTTAT